GAAGTTGTTCCAAGCCACTCTTGCCATCCCTGTTTAGCCACTCAACCTTCCCACACCCCAAAGCAGAGCTCGCTCTCACTGCTTGCAGGCAGGTTTTGTCCACGTCCTGAACTTGCAACTAACCTCTTTACCCTCGCGGCGTAACAACCTGCTCAACCCACCACTTTGTTCAGATCTAGGCACGTTGTTCAGAATCAGTAGGAGACAAATAGAGCTGTATGGGAACTATACGTGTAGGGTACCACATGACCTTAAAGAAAATAAAGATGCAGCCCAGAGAGTTCTGTAAGGCACCAGAGTATTCACAGGGAAGCAAACACCTCAGAACTGGGATGGGTTTCCAGGAGCGAGGGAGGCGAGACACCGAGGAGTACACGCTAAAGAATCAGGCAGGGAGTTAAAAAATTACGAGGCAGCACGATGGTCTGGGACATGCTCCAAGGCAGCGTCCTGACATGCCCCGCGTTACAGAAATCGCTGTTGGAATCAGTGCCCAAATCTCATCTCCTCTCACTCCTCAGGAAATAGTCTCAGAAAAAAATACGGCGCACATTTGAAGAGGGAATCAGCACCACTGAATAAGACTGTTTGCCGCCGTGGCCTTGAGCACAGCCCAAACCTCAGTTCAGGTGCCGAGAGGACAAGCCTCAGGGAAGGAATTATGGCATTTAGTCCTCCCAGACATGCACGGACTAGGAGGCCAAGCTTTGCTGTTTATCAACTTACAATGCAGGAACAGAAAGTAGGTCAGCAAGCCCGGTATCTCAGAAATGAAAACTCTCCCCCAGTCCCTTCTTCTGGGATGGTTTTGATCGACGTACGTAGGCATGAGCAGAGCTGATTTTTAGAATGAAAAAAACAAGAGAAACTGCTTGAGCACAAGGCTGTAGCAGCCTCCCCCAGACTAAGTCAAGCGGCAGTGCAAGTAATTCAGCGCTCAGGAAAGAAGAGAAGAGAAAGATGTTCACACCTAAGCTCCCGGGGGCCCCGGGCAGAGGCACGTTACCAGCTCTGGGTGCTGT